GTAGAGGGGAAGGAGAACCTCCCTCGTCCTGCTGGCCACACTCTTCTTGATGCACCCCAGGATCCCATTGGCTTTCTTGGCAGCCAGGGCACACTGCTGGCTCATGGTTAACCTGTCGTCCACCAGGACACCCAGGTCCCTCTCCGCAGAGCTGCTCTCCAGCAGGTCCACCCCAAGCCTGTACTGGTGCCTGGGGTTGTTCCTCCCCAGGTGCAGGACCCTGCATTTGCCTTTGTTGAACCTCACAGGTTCCCCTTTCAGCTCTCTCTGCAGCATGTCACTACAACTTTTCCTCCTAGAAATGTCACTAAGCCAAATACATTTTATCTCTGGGGAACTGGGAGAAAAAAAAAGAGAGGGAGGGGAAAAAAAAACCTGCTTCACCTTTTTAGACCAGTTTCTAAAGGTATATACTAATAATTAAAAAAACCCAAACAAACAAACAACAAAACTACCTTGTAAGAAGATGGAGGTTTTATCCTAAGAGGAGTCTCCGGTAACTTTCCGGGTAATGTCTCTTCATCTACTGTAGTTTCTACTTGCCAGATGAGGTACTGACTGGTAGTTTGCAGTGGGTCTTGAATATCTGAAGAAGAAAAGCTAGATTTAGCGGGGGGCTTGCTTTTTGCTTGACTCGCTATTCAGGAAAACAAAGATAATGCTGCATTTCTATATTTATGGTACCATTCTCACGCATTTACAGCAAGAACACAGAGGGATGACTTGGGTTTTTTTTGACTTGAGTGAACTTGATAAGAAGCAGAGGCAGTATTGCAGTGCAGCCTTTAGCTGTGCCCTCAGCTGTAAATTTCAGCTGTTGCCAGATTAGGTGGTGATGAGCTAGATCAAAATATTTGTCTCCTATTAAATCCTTAGGAGTTTTTGATTAAACAAAACTGAAATAAGATTAAGGCATCAGATAACTTCTCTTGCTTTTAAGTTACCCAAGCTTAGTAACAGAAAACTATTCTCTGGTTTGGAAGTGATCAAGACAGGTGTTTACTCTCCAGTATTCTCTTTCAGTCTCAGGAAAAAGTAGTAGCTTTAGAGAAATTTCCCTCATAGCACTGAGAAAGAAATTTATTCCTGTGAGATGCCTGGGTTGCAGATTTACAAGTACCAAGTGCTTCAAAAGCGAACAGATTTGAAAATAAACAAACAAAATACCTGGAATGTAGAAGAGTTTAGTTTAGGTGTTTAAAAAGGACCAAAACCCAAACCACATAAAACAAAACACTCCCCTGTTAATGAATAAACTGTTTCACTACGTAAAACACAGGAATAATGAAGTTCTTTCACCCTTGTAAAGCAATACATCCACTATGGATAAAAATATTATGTCACAGCTAAAAGAGATACCTTTTCCTGAGAGGTTGGGAAGTGTAAATAACATGTCGTTGTCCCTTGGGATAGAATACAGCATGCTCTCTTTCAAAGGGACGGTGTAGTTTGAGTGTCTAAGTACTCTCAGGTCCTTTTCTGAAATATCTATTTCTGTTACTTCTTCCTGCT